TCTCAAAACTCAATGTTCTGCAATGTTCCTACACAAGTGAGGTTGATGCATTTATTAATTAATGCCACTAGGAGATCTGGTAAAGCCTCAGCAAACAATTCCCATGTGCTCTTTCAGGGGAAAACAACTTACAATCAGATTTGTTTCCTCAGTAAGAATCGGAGGATATACTGCCAAAATTTCTCCAAGCTGCCACCTCTTTTTCTTGGCAAGCTATTGGGCTGTTAGCTTCCAGTCCCCCAGCTTCCCTGACCATGAGGATTCCTTCCTAGTTCGGTTCAGAGCACAGATTCCACCTGCTTTTATTTTGCTTTCTAATTGCTTATTATTCTCCCAAGCACACACTCTTTTTCCTTGCTCTACTCCTCTGACTATATTGCTGAAGATTTTGATCCCAAACAAAGGTGACTTTTGTACTCAGCTTGTTGTGAAAGATCAGTAACATGTGACATGTGATACGTTTTCCATCTTTTATATCTTTATACTCCCCTGGTGCATGGCCATGGGGATCATGTTTTGCTGAGTGTAATACTCTTGCCATTCAAATTTTATTTGAAGTAAATAGTAAAACAAAGTTGGAGTAGAGTGGTTCTTTCCCCTTTTCCAGAGGAGGCATCCAAAGGTACTCACAGAATATGCAAAGTACTAAGATACTAACTTCTTAAACTGAGGATAGATTCCATCCTATTACTTGTTTTTGTATGTGCATGTGGACCAAAAGTGATACCATGTTGAAGACTGTCTAATGCCATATCAGAGGATATTTTAGTCTTTTGCAAAAACAGAGCATGAAGACAGTGCACAGTGCTAGGCACAGTACTGTGCATTGACTATTAGAAGGATAGAAGGCAACTGGTGTTCTTAGAGGAGAACTGGACAAAGTTGGACTGTGGCTACTCTGCTGCTATGTCAGCACTCTCTTAACACTCAGCCTCCCAGATGCTCCTCATGGGGCCCATGCTTAGACATGATGTTAGCCCATGGGAAGATCAGTTGCAGCTCTTTTGAGTGACTGGTGTCTTCTAACCCCAGAGTCATGGGATAAACCCTACTGTGAGTTGTTTATTAACAATATTGAGCTCTGCTTGTGGCAGGTACTGTCATAGGCATAGGGAATACAGAAATAGAAATGACAGACAAGATCCTTTTTTTTTTTTTTAAGCCAAGGCTCATCTGTCGCCCAGGCTAGAGTACAGTGGCGTGATCTCGGCTCACTGCAATCTCCATTTCCCAGGCTCAAGGAGTCCTCCTGTCTCAACCTCCCAAGTAGCTGGGACTACAGACATGCACCACCACGCCCGGCTAATTTTTGTATTTTTTTTTTTATAGAGATGGGTTTCACTATGTTGCCCTGGTTGGTCTCAAACTCCTGGCTTAAGCAATCCATCTGCCTTGGCCTCCCAAAATGCTGGGACTACAAGCGTGAGCCACTGTGCCTGCTCTAAGATCCCTGTTCTTATGGAGCTTATATTCCAGGGGAGAGACAAGCAATAAAGCGCAAGATAAACAAGGTAATTTTATAATGATAAAGGTAGGATAAGGGAGGAAGACAGAGAGTAAACCATGTGTTCTGCTTAAGAGACATCCACATGCACATACAAAATCCAGTAATAGGATGGGATGTATCCTAAGTTTAAAGCAGGACATATAATTCACTCCCTGTGAGGTGGCCTCTTTGAGAAGATGACAGCAGCCCTAGGACCTGAGGTTGAGAATCAGCCACATGAAGACATGAAGCGGCACCGCCCAGCAGAACCCTCCACCTGCTGCAGATGATATGTGCTGTGCTGTCCAGCGTGGCAACCGCTAGTCACATGTGGCTGCTGAACCCTTGAAATGTGGCTAATGCAACTGAGGAGCTGTATTTTAAATTCAATATGAATAATTTAAATAGCTAAATGTGGCAAATAGCTATCCTATTGCACAGTGCGGATTAGGGGAAGGACATTTCAGGTAGTGAGGGCAGATTGTGTGAAGGTCTGGAGGCTGTGTCGCCCTGCTGATCCAACGTGAGCTCTCTGTCTGGAAGCTCTGGTCAGTTTTTAAAGAGCAAATCTGGAAAATTTAATGATGCTTCCTGCTTCTGTTTTATGGGCCTCTGGAGAACCTACAGAGGAATAACAGTTAACCGGACAGGAGTTAAAATCCCTGCTCAACAAAGAACCTATTTCCTTTCCTGGGAAGGACTCCTTCCCGCATTGGCTGACTCACAAGTCTTGACTGGTTTCCTCTGCTAATGGCTGTGGGCGGTCTTTGTCTGTGCAGGATATAGCCTTTTCAGCGCTGTGCTTGTTCGTTCTGGAAACGAATCCTGCCTTTGTTCTTGACTTACATCTTCTGGTAACAAGAGGCTGGAATCCCTACCATTGCATTTGCAAGGAGTCACTCTGTATTCTGCATACAACCTTCTATCCATCCTAGGGGGCTGAGACCTCATCTTTTCTGGCATAGCCTTTCTATTTTCTTCCATTGCTAAAGATAGTCAGCCCTGGTTTTAAAGAGAAATTTGTGTTTAGACAGAATTTCACCTTGAATTGCCACTTTATGTTGAAAGGATTAAGAAAGAAAAGGGAAGAAGAAAGAAGAGAAAAAGAAAGGCCCCAGGAATGTTTCCAGTGGTTTTCTCACATGCCATGCATGCATTGGGATCTCTCAGGCCACGAAAGCCTCTTGTACCTTCTGGGCAAGAATTGGGCTATTCCAAGCAGCCACTGGCTAATCCCAGCGGGGGCAGAGGGAGGGGCAATGGCAGGGACCAGCTCTGTCTAGCCAGCATGGGTGGAGATTCGGCTCCAGCAAGATTCCCACGCGAAAGCAGAGATGAGGTAGCCAACGCTGGCTCAGTGTCTAAGGATTAGAGGAGGCTCTGCTGCAGAGTCTGTAATCCTGGACTAGCCTGGATTTGTCATTGGTTTAATGATGAATCTACTACTCTCTTTGTACTTACATAGCCCAAGAAAAAACAGTGACCTAGTACCACCCTGAAAGGTGTATGAAACCAAGCAAAGGGGATCTAAATGTTAAATTGGAGACCACGGACCCAAGCCCACCTCCATGGGTTGAGCGGTTACGCTGCCCTCTTCCTTTGGTCTTACCTGACTGTCTGCAGCTAGCTCAGTGGTGGCGGCGGGGGGGCACAGGGGAGGGCTGTGAACTTCAATACGTGGCATGTACCAAGAAGTCACCTTGATGTTGATGAACTTGATCCCTTTGATGGCGAAATCTGACATCATAAAATGAGTATCTGTGATGTCTGAACAATGTGCTGGCACGTTTCATCTCGTTTTGCAAATAAACCTTCCTAGAACGTAAGTGTAGAAGCACAGCTGAATTGGGTGCTTTGGCTTCACGTGTAAACATGGCAGTGCTTCACAAAGATCCCTCCCATGCACATGTGCCTTGCCCTTTTAGCATGTGCTTCTCCAGGAGAGAAATCCCTTCTCTGGGGAAGGGGCTGTGTTAGACACCTTAACCGGAGGGGTTCATTGGAAAGCCCTATAAGCTACATGGATCAGTATTCACCCAGCTGAATTTCTTTGTCTTTTTTTTTTTTTTTTTTTGAGACAGGGTCTCACTCTGTTGCCCAGGCTGGAGTACAGTGGCACGATCTCAGCTCACTGCAACCTCCGCCTCTGGGGTTCAAGCGATCCTCCTGCCTCAGCCTCCCAAGTAGCTGGGATTATAGGCACTCACCACCACGCCCAGTTAATTTTTGTATTTTTAGTAGAGACAGGGTTTCACCATGTTGGTCTGACTGGTCTTAAACTCCTGACCTTGTGATCCACCCACCTTGGCCTCCCAAAGTGCTGGGATTACAGGTGTGAGCCACCAAGCCCAGCCAGGAATTCCTTTGTCTTAAAAAAAATTATTTTTAATTAAAAAATAGGTATGTTTATTAAAGAAAAATTAGCCTACAGTCTATAATCATGCCACCTGGAACATGTCTGATCTCGTCTGATCTCAGAGGCTAAGCAGGATCAGGCCTGGTTAGTACTTGCATGAGAGAAAACTTAGAAAACTTACAAAAGGAGAAAGGAGATAAAAATTACCTATGATTCTACCAACTAAACACAGCTACCCCTGTTAACAGTTTGATATGTTCTCAATAGGATTTCCTTCCTACGGAAGGGTTATTTTGCCTTTTACATGGCTGTAACTGTAATATATCTACAATTCTGTGCACTGGTTTCAGATTTAACATTAAATAGTAAGTGAATAGTAAATATCACTTGTTAATGGCCGCATAGTATGTCCTTAAGTTCCTGTGTACTTGGCACTTGGGAGACTTGAGCCCCAGGACTCAGTAACAGCTGAAGGCCACACAGCCAGACCCAGCCCATGTCTCCCACCTCCCAGGTGAACACTCATTACATTCACTGGATCTCAGTCTGTACCTGCTTTTGTCCCCACGCGCAGGGTGTGTACCTCTGCCAGTTGCCTCCTCCTTACATTATTGTGTTTAACACCCTCTTCTACTTCCAGTGAGGACCTCTACACCACCCGCTGCAGGACACGTCCCTGGCATGGAGGCCAGATCGCCCCATCCATCATTGTACACGAAGAGACCCATAGTATCGTAATAAATAACAGTATTCCTGGGAGCCAGGTGTGCCTCATGCTTCTCCCAACCCAACTTCCACCTCTTGCCTTAATACTAGCTTCAGAGTAAAAGAAAGGATTAACCTTCTCAAATCCTATTGAAAACATACCTGGCACGGTGGCTCATGCCTATAATCCCAGCACTTTGGGAGGCCGAGGCGGGCAGATCACCTGAGGTCAGGAGTTTGAGACCAGACTGGCCAACATGGTGAAACCCTATTTCTACTAAAGATATAAAAATTAGCCGGATGCCCACAATCCCAGCTACTGGGGAGGCCAAGGCAGGAGAATCGCTTGAACCCGGGATGCAGAGGTTGCAGTGAGCCGAGACTGTGTTATTGCACCCCAGCTTGGGTGACAAGAGCAAAATTCCATCTCAAAAAAAAAAAAAAAAAAAAAAAACAGAGAAAGGATTAACCAAAGGCCATAGGGACAGACTTAGATAACCAGCAGCAACCTCAAGGCTGTGGTGCTCTCTTAACCTGCTGCTTTCAGGGTAGATGGAAGACGTGGTTTCTAGTCTCAACCAGCCTGAGTTCTTCCTTCCCATTAGGGACTGACTTCATGGGCACGAATTTGCACTGAGGTCCACATCGAGAAGGGCCCTGTGCTTGGTTGGTTAAATGCTCTGCTGTTGCCATCTTGAAAGTGTTAATACGTTTTAAACAAGTACCCTGCGTTTTTTTTTGTACTGGGCCTCACAAGTGGTCGGTTCTGCACTCAGTGTACTTTGAGCACATCTTACTTGTAGCGTTCATTTCGTTTTACTATATTACTTATGTTTATGACTCACTTTGCATACTGGGAGGTGCTTTAGTGGAAATACAAAGTCTTTGGAATCCAGCAGACAAAATTTCAAATGACCGTATACAAGGCTTTGACACTTAAGGTGGGGTGCTCAGTCATTTGGAGCCTCAGTGTTCTTATCTGTAAAATGGGGATAGTGATCTTAATTTTTTTTTTTAAGACTTGTGAGGATCAAGAAAACGTGTGAAGCAGGTAGCATAATGTGTTGTTCATGCACGCCTACTGCCTGCCTCAGGCTCTTCCGTCCTTCCTTGCCTGGCACAGTGCTGGTATACAGTAGGTACTCAATACGTGCCTGTGACATGGAACTGAATTTTCATTTGGGGTGTTTAGCTTGTGCCTCTTCATTTCCAGATTGGAATTGGAGTTGTGTTCTGGTCTCTGGGTAAGAGCTAGGACCATAGAATCAGAAGGGCTTATTCTAAGTATTGGCATTTCTTCTCCTGGGAATTGTAGCCAGGCCATGTATGAGGGTGCCTTTTCTTTTATTCAGTGTATCATGTTATGGAGCTCACAATAGCAGATACACAGCTCCGGCTGCACCAGGTGACACATGGCTTCTACCAGAATCCTGCAGGTAGGATTGTCCTCATCCTTCTTTGCTGTGGCTGGCAGGTTTCAGGTGTTTGTTTTTAGCCACTGTTAAGACTGTTTTCACCATGGCATATCACTGCTCTCCCTCAGCGGCAGAGAGGAGCAGAGCCTTCTGTGTGGATTTGGGAAGACACATGTGGTGAGGCGCTTTTCGGTAAACTCTTATCCTAAGAAAGTTCTGGGCATAATGAAAGAAGACTGAGAGAGGAAGGGCAAAGCATGCTGACTAGAGGACCACCTTGGAGCTCGGGGAACCTAGCAGACCATGGGGAGGACTCAAGGCCAGAAGAGAAAGGCAGCCGCGGCCAGGCTGGCTGGCTCCCTTAGGTCAGGAGCTGGGACTGGCGCCTTTAGGTGTCTGTGACCGAGTCAGCGGCTGAAGCCAACGGAGCCTGAGGCAGCCTGTGGGCTGTGACTAAATTAGGAAGAAAGGGCCCTTGGGCTCTCCTGGGAGTTCACTGGGGCAGGTAGGCCGTGGAAGGGCCTCTGGTGGGCAGCTGGAAACAGGCTGGCCAAACATATCCAACAACTGGCTTTCACTTTTGATTTTTCAGTGCGGCTGTAGATATATCACACACTGGATCTGAGTTCAGTCCCAGCAGGGGGGAAGCCTCCCTGATGCCAGGGTACCCACGGGTGGTGCCAGGTAGGAGGTGATCTGACCCCCAACCCCCATCTTCTCCAAGGGACTAAGTAAAATAGGAGAATCTAGTGAGCTTCAATCACTAAGTCATTTATAAGCTCCTGGGGAGTTTTGACGTTTTAAAAGGAATATACCCTATTGACTATTTGAGGGAGGAGATTATAGTGGATGCCAGGCATTGCAGGTGAACCTCAGCCTGTCCCACACAGGAAAAATTGGAAGGATGGTTGCTTTGCATAACCTGGCAATGAGGAACCTGTGACAACAGATTTTGATTTTAGAAAATCACATGAAGGTTTAGTTTGGTTTGAGTGTTTAAGGATTGCAGTGTGAGATTTGGAAGGAGAAAATTAAAAGCGAGTTGGCAGGAGAACAGTGGCTCCTAGGAAGAAAGCTGTGTTTCCAAGTAATCAAACTCTGAATGAGGCCAGCCAGGGCCTTCAGCCACTTCCTCACGGAGAGGGGCTTCTTGGCTTTTTTTTGGCGGGGGGCGGGAGTTATACTTTCTGCAAGACTGGTTGAAGGCGTTAGTCTGAGAGCACAGTTTCTCAACTGCGACAGTATTAGTATCTTGGGCCAAATAACTCTCTTTTGTGGTGGCTGTCTTGAGCATTGCAGGATTTTTACAGCATCCCTGGTCTCTGCTCAGTAGATGCCAGTTGCATTCCATCCTCCCCCTCAGTTCTGACAACAAACTATTTCCAGCATTAGCCTGGGGACCAGAATCGCCCCCAGCCACTGCTTAGAGCAAAGGAGACGCTGCTTTTCGTACTGAAAGGTACTGCAGTTACCACTGGGTGGGTGAAATGATGGGTCATCTCAGTTCATTTCCTGTTCCACAGAAGTAAAGAAGGGCAACTGTTTCAGGAGCTTTGCTGGTTGGGCGTCAGCTTGCTGGCGTTGTCAGATGTAGCTGGATTTCTAAGATTTTTTAGGGTATCTTCTGGACCAAATTTTCCCCGCTGAAAACCCAGAGTAAAAAACAACAAGCAAACAAACAAGCAGACCACCACCACCCACAGCAGCAGCAAAAAATAGGGAAGTAAGCCAGGCGAGGGTTTGCAATTTTATTAAAAGTGGTCAGCGCGGTCAGCCCTAGACCCCTCCTTCAAAAGCGCTCTCAGGAGGCCTGTCTGCATAGAGCTGGCTTGGGTGTTGATATGTGAAGAGGCTGAGAACATGTGGCATAAACATCGACTGATATTGTTTGCCATTTACACTCAGCATGTGTAATGCAGCAGGAATGGCTCCCGGTGGCATGTGACTGCCCTTCCAGGCGGGTATGCTGTGCTCAGGCGCTGCTCTTTCTCTTTCACCCCCTCCCTCCCTCCCTCGCTCCCATACCCCCTCCTCTGCCCCTTTCCTCCTCTTCCCTTTCCAGGGGAGAGTTTGAGTGGAGGCTTGTCATGATTAGCACGCAGAAAGCTGGTAGGGTGTCACTGGAATTTTCTAGGGAGGCACATGCGCAACACCCAAAATGACTCCCAGCTTCGGTGGCCGCAGGTCAGCGCGTCGTGCCAGGCACCCTGGTCTGTTTCAGAAAGGTAAGGTTGCATGATGTCATCCTACCTTTCCCCAGCACAAGGGAGAAATCGAGGTTTTGTTAGTTTCTTTTTTAATTCTCCGGTCCAGGCAGCACCTCTGAACATGTTCTCGGCGCTGAGCATTTGTGCATGAGTGTGCGATTTGTCCGTGTCCCCACCCTCTCCGTTTAAAAAAAAAATTAACAAATGATTCACAACGGCAGTTTAACATGTGACCTAAAACAGCTCCTCATGACCCCAGTGAAATTGGCGATCCTAATGTCAGAAAGTCTGGATGGTCTTTTTACGCTGGTTACTAAACTCTTTGAATAAAGAAGAGTTGTGAGGCTACTGGAAAACAGACTGCGTTATCACCAGATCTGGGAGAATGGAAGCGGATGTGTTCGGAATCCCAAAACTTTATAAATGATAGGCGTCGCTTAAGGGTGAGGTGTTTTGTGTTAATCGCTGGAATTTGGCAGTGATGGAAAATGAACTTAAAGGTGTTTGAAATGTCTCGTATCTGTTGAGTGCACAGTGTGACACATTCTGGACCAGGAAGAGAGTGTCGTGTTAAAATTCATGAGCAGGGGATATCTCGCCAAGAAACGAGCCTTGATAATGGCTTCTGAGTACCCCTGAAGTAGCGAGAACATGAATTTCAGCACCTCTTAGGTTATCTTTAAGTTAAGTATTTAAACAAAACTATTTTCATCATCGCCAAGCCAGCAAGCAAGTGTGTAAACTTCTGTCGTGCAGTTCAGGGCACAAATTTGGACATGGATGTGATGGTCTGTTAGCAGACTCAAGCGCAACCGAACATGACTCACCTCATTTCTGTATCTGATGCAATTACAAGTAGCTTCAATGCTCGCAGTAGAAGAATACTAGTTTTCGGCTTGCAAGTGTGTAAAAGTGAATCCATACTCAGAAAACGGCATGGATGGTATATCTTATATTACGGGGATTTTGTTTTACTCTTAAAAAAATCTTTTGTGCAGCTTTGCCTTTGGTTTCTGCCTTAGAGGCACTGGAATCTTTTTCTTTCTTGCAACTCTGAGATGTCAGAAAACTGAAGGGGAGAGGGTTAATAGGTTCACACACCCACCCCTCCCCCACGTGCATACGCTAACAGCTGCCATGTATGATTTTAGTGGAATTTGATATTTCGAATGAAATGACTTCCTTGTTTTCCATAGTAATATAATAATCAATTTTACCATAGAGAACTGTGTACATGTCAAACCTTGGCTGCTCCTAATTAGCAATGGATGGGGTAGGTGGGGAAAGTGCTGAAGAGCACTTTCGAGTAAAAAATCAGCCTTCAAGTTTTAACCATTCTTTCTGGCCTCAGCCAAGACAGTTTTCAATCTGCTCGGATCTTAACCACATGTTCAGTTTGTGGTGTTCTAAGAAAATATCTAGAATGACACGTGCAAATGTGACAAAGATGGGCCCGTGTCTCTAACCGATGCGGGGCTGTCTTTTACCTCTACTCTGTAGTAACTTTCGTATGGCCAGAGCTTTGTAAGATAGAAGCAAAAGCCAAAAGTGATGCACACATAAAATTCTCTGCCTTGGGTGGCGTCTATGTTTTGTTGGCTGTAGCCAGAAAGATATGTGTCTTCAGACACAAGAAACTTCCATCCACTTTGGAAAAGGGATATTTTCTCAATAAATAGTTACACAGGCTATGTATAAAGCCCCAATCTTAATGTTCTCATTTACTTTAAGTAATGCAAAGGAATTAAACTGTGCACATTCCAAAAACACACATGGAAACATGTACCATGTCCTTCACAAGGAAACGAGTATTCTGCTAAGATCTACATTCCCACATGCTTAATACAGTCATAATTTCAAGTCAGTTGAACGAGTCTTTGTTCAGTGACTCTAATGTGCCCAGTGCTGAGTCACATAGGCACTTGGGAGTTTGAAGGATTTTAGGATGTGGATGATGTCCTCAAGGTGCTTATAATTCAGAAGGTAAAACTCCTCCCCTGGCAAACCTCACCTGGCTTTCTGCAGCAGAAACTGTATGTGTTTTCTGGGGCACATCTTGTTGCAAAAAGTATTTATTGAATTGCATGAAAAGGTGCATTAACAGAGCTAAGAAATATTTTTAGCTCTATTGTGTTTGACCCTCGGTGGACTTGTGACCCTTTGTGGACTTGTAAAAATTTCAGTGTTTAATCTGCAGGGTCATTTAAGACACATGGTCATGCTGTTTGGCATGACAACAATAGCTTGTGGGACCCAAAGCAATAAAGAACAGATTGATTCTATTCGTTTATAGATTGGTAATTCTTAGACTTTGTTGCACAGTTATTCCTGGGGAGCTATTAATATTAACAATTCCAATGCCTGGGTTGAGTCAATCTCTGAAGGTGGGACTCAAGCCTCAGTACTTTTTAAATCCCCCTCCAAGTAATTCCTAAGTGCCACCAAGTTTGAGATCTAGCGATATAGATGACTTCATCAACAATCTTTTTTGTTTGTTTGTGTTTTTAGCCTACACCTACTAGAGTGAGTTTTGGAGTGGGCTTTATATAATGATGGGGGGACTTAAGAACTCTCAGCCTTCTGGAAGCTAACTGTCTGTTCTCTGAATTAGTGAACACAGTGTGGATGAAGCTGTGCTTTCTCTCTTTCCAGCAAACCTGGTGATATGATGCCAGGCCAATCACACAGCCATCTACATTACCTAAGGTTTCCTGAAACTTGAGTGTTTTTATTACAGGAGGCCAAATGTTCTGAAAATCTTGATTATGTCTCTTAAGAGAAGGTGGTTATACAATTAATTACATGTGCCCCTTGAAATTATTTTTGCACTGTCTGAAATACCCATGGAAAAGGAAGCCCGCTCTTGGTATACTGGCAACTAGTAGAAGTAGCTCCTTAAAATAGAGGGGTTACTCAGTTCCTGATAACTCACTATAGATATTTTTTTTTCAGACAGAGTCTTGCTCACTCACTCAGGCTGGAGTGCAGTGTGCAATCACAGCTCACTGTAACCTTGAAACCTGGGGCTCAAATGATCCTCCCACCTGAGCCTCCCAAGGAGGTGTACAGGTGTACACCACCATGCCTGGCCAAGTTTTAAATTTTTTTTAGAGATAGGATCTCTCTATGTTGCCCAGGCTGGTCTGGAACTCCTGGCCTCAAGTGATCATTCTGCCATGGCCTTCTAAAGTGCTAGGATTACAGGTGTGAGGCCACTGCCCCTAACTACCTCACCATAGATTCTTGGAGTTGGAAAGTATTTTCAAAATATTCTAGTGCAGTGGTTCTCAAAGTGCTGCATCAGCATCACCTGGACTTGTTAGAAATTAACATGTTCAAGCTCCACCCCCAGATCTTCTGAGTCAGATCTATGATGCTATGGGTGGTGAGCGGTGGGCCCAGCATCTGTGTTTTAGGAAGTGCTTCTCTCTGGGTGCCCACCAAAATTTGAATTACTGCTGTTATTTCACCTTGTCAGAAACTGAGATACCTCAGTCCTGGGATCTGTGTCTGCACCAAGGCCAGATCATCCTAACTTTCCTATGGGTCATGAATAACTGCCTTAAGAAAACGCTCACCATCCTAAAATCATTAGACATAAAGAAACCTTAAATGTCTCATCTGACCCTTCCATTTCACAGATGAGAAAACTGAGGTCGATAGGGTGACATGAACTCAATAAGATGTAGAGTCACTGGTCTACATTGAGCAGAGCTTTTGGTCTGCTTATAACGAACACAGTCCTCTCCCTCACTGGTCCACACTGCCTCTCCAGTTTAATGTGGACTTCTAGTGTTTGGCTTAAATCACATCAGTTATGATGTCTAGGTTAATCATCATATAACTCTAGAAAAAGTCCAACTATTTTGATTAAGAATTTTAATTCTTTAAAATTAATCCAAAATTCTTTCATTTCAAATTGGCTTGAATTTTATAACTTTGTACATTTAATAGAAAAAAATCTCAGTGATGTAAACTGCTGAAAAGAAAATTCACAGACCATAGGGATCACTCCTGGGACGTGGGTTTCATCCCAACATCATGTAGCTCAGGCACTAATTGCCCCTCAGATGCACACACTGAAATTGCATTTTCTTCAGATTTAGTTAAAAGGAAAAACGTGACAAGGAGTCTGTTTTTTGAATATTTTAAAATTTCATACTTGATGTGGTTGGTGATGTTTACATAATTTTGTCAGTGTTCAAAAACTGAATCTAATCCACATTCTCTGCAGAGCTTCATCTTTCAAAGCACTGTAGCAATACACAGGGAACATTTAGCCAGGAAAGGAAAGGAGAACACACAGCTATTATCTACATACTTATATACATGGAGCAGGCGTGTCCATGGATACAAACTTTGTGTGTGTGTGTGTGTGTGTGTGTGTGTGTGTGTGGACTTTTTTTGAGACAGAGTCTGGCTCTGTCATCCAGGCTGGAGTGCAGTGGTATGATCTCAGTGATTCTCCTGCCTCAGCCTCCCAAATAGCTGGGGCTACAGGTGACCACCACCACACCCAGCTAATTTTTTGTATTTTTAATAGAGACTGGGTTTCACCATGTTAGCCAGGATGGTCTCGATCTCTTGACCTCATGATCTGCCAGCCTCAGCATCCCAAAGTGCTGGGATTACAGGAGTGAGCCACTGCGCCCAGCCTAATTTTTGTATTTTGTTAGTAGAGAGTAGATTTTGCCTTGTTGGCCAGGCTGATCTAGAACTGCTGACCTCAAGTGATCCGCCCGCCTCAGCCTCCCAAAGAGCTGGGACTGCAGACATGAACCACTATGTCCAGCCCATGGATAGAAATGTTTATTGGTTCCACACACCTACCATGTGCCAGGTATTGTGATGTGGCATGGGACACATTTGAAGTTCCTACCTTTGAATGATCATGCGACAGTGAGGAAGTCAGACAAGTGCTTCAGTAGACAATTATGAGAGCAGGTGGTGGAGTTAGAAGAGCGTACAATTGAGGCTAAAGGAGTAGCAGGGCATTCTGAGGATCACAGAAGGGACAC